AACTAATATTGAAATAAGGGAGGTAATAAATTGAAGTATAATAACCACTTTGCTAAGCCATACTTATAAATTTTATTCTTTATGCCTCACACAAACCTGTGAACTAGATGCTGTTATTAATCAATACTTTCAAATTAGCAAGGTTAGCCTTGAAGATGTTCTAGTTGTCATTCTAGTCAGAGCCAGTGCCAGGATATAAAGCCACATGTGAAAGTTGCTGAAGTCTGACTCTTAACTATTGTGTTATATTAGCTCTTGTGCAATACTATATAATTCTACTTTTTATCTTTTTGCCATTCTGAGCTCACAACAGTTGCACTTATAATACTTCTTTCTCTGACTCTAGGCACTTGGCGCTAGGTCATATCTCACAAATTAAAGGGCATCAATCTCCAGATTGTTAATTTGCCTGAGATGTTAGATGCAAGCTTGGGAATCCCCAAACTTCCCTTTGTTCACATTTGGGGATTCCTTCTCCCCGCTCAGGATGCCAGTTGCAAGCTCAGAGAGCCTTCTCACTTCTGACCTCTCCTTCTCACTGCTCCCTATGATGAATGGCTGTGTGTCATAAGTGCCAAGGAAGTTGTTCTTTTAACCACTTTTAAATGGCTTTTTACTATTCTTGTTCCTGTGTGATGGAGAAGCCAAACCAAACCAAACTCATTGTCATCAATTCCAACCCATTAAGGCCCTATTGGAGAGTCTAGAACTTCCCCACAGGATTTCCAACGCTATAAATCTTTATGGAAATAGTTTTCTACATCATTCTGCCAAAGAGTGGCTGGTATGTTCAAATTACTGACCTTTCTGGTTAGCAGACAAGATCTCAAATCACTGGACCACCAGGGCTCCTTGTCTGACTGACACACATAGTGAGGGAAAAAATTCTAACCCTTTAAATTTAGCTTTAGCAGCATTAGCTCTGAAATTATATGTCTCTGTTTTAAATCCAGGCCCTGTCCCTTCCCATCTTTCTAATCCTGGTCAAGTCATGCAACATCGCTAAGTCTCAGTTTTTAGTCTCACTGAAATTGGGCCAAGAGAACACTCCTCTCACAAGCCTTTGTTCAGGTTATGAGAAAATGCATCAGTGCACAGTCTGTTGTAAGGCTCCATCAAGTTTGTTCTCACTCAAAGTGGCCTTATGAACAAAAGAAGGAAACATTGCCCATCCTTACAATTTTTGAGCCCATTGTTGAGTGACTGCATCAGTCAATCTTCTTGAGGGCTTTTCTTCTTTTGATGTTCCTCAAAAGGAGGAACACATTACCAAGCATGACATTCTTTTTCAGGGACTGGACTCTCCTGATAACATGTCCAACCTATGTGTAAGGAAGTCTCACCATTCACACTTCTAAGAAGCATTTTGGCTGTACCTCTTCCAAGTCAGGTTTGTTTGTTCTTTTGTCAGTCCATGGTACTTACAATATTCTTCACCAGCAGCACAATTCAAATGCATCATTTCTTCTTTGGACTTCCTTAGTACATTATAAATCCTAAATAAATAGAGTTACTATATGATACTTATTATAATTGTGAGTTTTGCAAAGGTCTGAGTGTCATTCCCTCTTAGGTACAGTCATCAGGTCAATTTTCTTTCCATTAGGGAAACTTTTCTTCTATGGCACATGACATACTCTTAAATCAAGCCAACACAAAACTCTTTGGTAAGAATTTTGATGGGACAGTGATGGTGTTGTCATCTTCCATGAGGGAGATCTGACCTTTATTCCCTGCAGTGCTCCCCAAGTGCAGCATCACTCATCGGTTAGTAAAGGCTGGAGTGTTGCTATGATGGTGGGCAGGTTTCAGTGGCGCTTCCAGACTGAAACAGACTAGGAAGAAAGACCTGTTGATTTACTTGCAAAAATTAACTAGTGGAAACCCTATGGATCACAATAGTTCAATCAAGGCTATGGCACGGGGTCGGGAAACATTTTATTCTAATGTTAGAGGTTGCCATGAAACTCAGTTAACAGCACACAAATGAGCTCACTTTAAAAAGTGAAGATGGTGACCCATTCAAGTCAAGTGTTATTTTTTTTCTGTTCATTTTTAAAGATATGTTGGATAATTTAATTCTCTTTGGGGTAGGGGTTATACTTTTAAAAAAGATTTTCCATACATATATATAGTTTCACTCGTTGATTCCCCAGCACCAGCCTGAGGATTGGGGCTGTAGATGAGGATGGCAAGTGTGCGCTGCAAGCTGGCATCTTACTTGGAGGAGTTAGAAGACATAGACTTGAAGAAATTCAAAATGCACTTGGAAGACTATCCTCCCCAAAAGGGCTGCATCTCACTCCCCCGGGGCCAGACCACAAAGGCAGACCACCTGGATCTGACAACCCTGATGATTGACTTCAATGGGGAGAAGAGGGCATGGAGCATGGCCATATGGATTTTTGCTGCCATCAACCGGAGAGACCTTTATGAGAAAGCTAAGATGGAAGAGCCAAAGTGGGGTGAGTTGAAGGAAGATAATACAGTTTTCTTCAAATCGTTCCTCTTATTACCTTAGCTTTAGTCTCTTTCTTCCCATCATTGTAGTGCCATGACAAGAGGGAGGAAAATTCTTTTCTCTGTTAAAACATCTAGCTCAGATTTGCTCTATAACCAGGAACCTGCTCTGGTTAATCCCACTTTATTAGAAGAGATTCCTGTGCCCGGAATGGCCTCTATATCTATATCTAGATGGTGGCATTGTTGTTTCTGTCAAGGAGCCTGATTGCATCCAGAATGATGTAATTTGTAGGACAAAGTCTTTCCTATGGCCACTATGGGGAGTTGGAATGGTAAAAGAAATTCTCTGACTCTTATGTACAGGTTGAGGGTGTGAGTCTTTCCCCTTTGTGCCAGTGTTCTAGGCAAGAGAAGGCCTTATGGATGGCCTCAGAAGAATCTAGAACCACAGGATGATGGTGAGCAAATAGTGCTGGGAGAAAGGAATAAAATGAATTAGTAAATAAGGAGAATCATGGGGAGTTGGAGAGGTGGCAGGGGTGTAATAAGTTGGCATAATAATGAACTAATATTGAAATAAGGGAGGTAATAAATTGAAGTATAATAACCACTTTGCTAAGCCATACTTATAAATTTTATTCTTTATGCCTCACACAAACCTGTGAACTAGATGCTGTTATTAATCAATACTTTCAAATTAGCAAGGTTAGCCTTGAAGATGTTCTAGTTGTCATTCTAGTCAGAGCCAGTGCCAGGATATAAAGCCACATGTGAAAGTTGCTGAAGTCTGACTCTTAACTATTGTGTTATATTAGCTCTTGTGCAATACTATATAATTCTACTTTTTATCTTTTTGCCATTCTGAGCTCACAACAGTTGCACTTATAATACTTCTTTCTCTGACTCTAGGCACTTGGCGCTAGGTCATATCTCACAAATTAAAGGGCATCAATCTCCAGATTGTTAATTTGCCTGAGATGTTAGATGCAAGCTTGGGAATCCCCAAACTTCCCTTTGTTCACATTTGGGGATTCCTTCTCCCCGCTCAGGATGCCAGTTGCAAGCTCAGAGAGCCTTCTCACTTCTGACCTCTCCTTCTCACTGCTCCCTGGGGTTTCACTCACTAGAATGACTTACAGAGCAGGAGAAGTTCTATATATACCTTTTTTTAATACAGAAAAAGGCAAGTATAGTGAGGTCTGGAAGCATTTTCAGTGTGAGCTTCTATGTGCCCCAAAGGGACACCTAACCCTATCTTTTACCAACCATAAGCCCATGGCACTTCTGTGTCCAGACATTTTTGGGGGGCTATATTATGTAGGATTGGTTAATTGGATCACCCCTGTGTACTAAGAACAGCTGATATGAAAAAGTGATCTTTCTGGCCCATTTAGCACTCAAAAAATCACCTCATACCTCTCAGGTTCCTGTCAACAGAGGATATGTCCTACGTAGTTTCCATGTATCTAGGTCTTATTCTATCATGGCTAAATTTTTCCTATAAGAAATCCTCATTTAACACCTTGCTATGTATTCATAAAGCTTGTTGAAAGAGAGGAGAACCCGAAGCACTTGCAGATGAAGACCAAGGATTATAGCCTTCAGTATGGATTACAACTCCATGTAAAGGAGACCAAAATCTCCACAACTAGATCAATAGGCAATGTCATGATAAAAGAGAAAAGACTGAAGTTGTCGAGGATTTCATCTTGTCTAGATTCGCAGTCAATGCTCACTAAAGCAGCAGTCAGGAGATAAAATCATGCTTTGCATTGAGTACATTTTCTGCAGAAGATCTCCTTAAAGTGTTGAAAAGCAAGGATAGGACTCAAATATGCTTGAGTCAAGCTATGGCATTTTCAGTTGCATATGAAAGTTGCACATTGAATAAGGAAGACAAAGAATCAGTGCATTTGAACTATGGCTTTGGCAAAGAAAGTACCACAGACTGCCAAAAGAACAAACAGCTATGTCTCGGAAGAAGTCCTGCCATAATGCTCCTTAGAGGCAAGGGTGGCAAGACTTATCTCCAGTAGTTTGAACAGGTTATCAGGAGAGACCAGTCTCTGGAGAAGGACGTCATACTTGGTAAAGTGGAGGAACGGTGAAGAAGATGAAGGCCCTTGATGGAGAACTAGGTGGTGCTTCATTCTTCATACATAGCGTTGCTAGGAGTTGGAGCTGACTTGACAGCACTTAACAACAACATGCGCTTATAATAAAGCCCACAGGGGGTTACTATGAGTCAGCATTGGTAGCAGTGAGTTTGTTTGTTGGCTTAGTGTTTGTTTGTTTGCTTTTAGTGAATGTTTAGCTTATTGACTCTGAATTCTGGATGCCCTTGAACACAACACAACAAAGCGAAAATGATTCCTGAGCTCCATCTGGGTTAATTGAAAAATATTTGTTGAGGGTAGAGCCATGGAGCCTGTATTTCTAATGCATCCTAGGTGAATGCAGAGGAATCCTGAGATGTAGTGAGTTATACATTGGGCTGGTAATTGAAGGGTCAGCAGTTCGAAACCATCAGCTTCTCCTCAGGAGAAAGATGAGATTTTCTACTCCTGTAAAGAGTTACAGTCTTGGAAACCTACAGGGGTAGTTCTACTCTGTCCTTAGAGGGTCACCTATGAGTCTGAATGCACTCAAGGGCAGTGAGTTTTCAGTTTTGAGGTGAATCTTAAGTCGGCCAGAATTATGCACCACTGTGTTAGGATGAGTTGTATAGAGAAACAAACCCAGCGACACTCATCCATATATTGGGAAGATCTTTACATCAAGAAGTAATTTTATATCAAGAAGGCATCTCAGCCCAGACCAACTCCTGTCCATGGGTCTGAAGCTAGGCAGGGCTCGCTTCAGACTCATGAACTGCAGACTGATGGTGCAGAAGGGTGAAGGAGGACCCAGGAGATCACAGGCCAGTGGATGCAGAGTTGCATGAGTGTAAGGTCAGTGGAAACATGAGAAGGAGCAGAAAGCACTCCAGGTCACCCTGGAGCCATTCCTGGTGGCGGACACATAGTCCTAGCAAGGAGAAAGATGAAGGCAAAGAAAGCAGGGAGAAGTTCTCAGTGTCTGTCTTATAAAAAGGCCACACCTCCAAGGAGGCACCATGAAGCTGTGACCTGATTGACAGCTTGGACTCCACCCCGGCATTTTCACACAGGTGCAAGTTAGATATAAATCAGAGAGGCAATTCTTACTCTTGAATTCCAGGATTCTCAATAATATCTATATGAAAGCACAAGATATGGGTAACATGGATTGTGGTATCTTGAAGATATAGGCATGCTTGAAAATGGTCTCAAAATTAGAGTACCAGGCTGGGAGAGTAACAAGTTTGTGCAAGGATAAAGAGAAACATTGCCTGGCTCATACATTGGCTGATTTATAAGTTTGGGGAAAAGATTCTGATACTGGATATGACAATCGATACAAGGACCAGCTGGGTAACAATTACTATTTTGAAATTAGGAATGCTTCCAGTTGGACACCAGGGAAGAATTACCCCCTGATAGTGCAGTGGTTAGGCACTTAGTTGTTAAACAAAGGATGGGTAGTTTCAAACCCCAGCCAATCCTTTCCTACTGTGTCAACAATGGTTGAGTGCATAGTGGCAGTTTTTGACAACGTATATATATTTTCTCTTTTATATTCAGATAATGCATGTGATTCTAAACCCACTGTGATATGCCGTGAAGAGAGCATTGAAGAAGAGTGGATGGGATTACTCAGTTATCTTTCCAGAATCTCTTTTTGTAAAAAAAAGAAAGGTAAATGATGGGAATGGGGCATGCTTCCAATTGTTTTTGAGACCCAGTTAAGAAGCCAGTGGGAAGCTGATTAGTTTGTATCTCTTGTATTTTCTCTTGTTCTTAACCCTTCGTATTTATTGAGATGAAAGCTACTCCAGTGTTAAAAATTCTGTCATCACCAGAAGAAACTGTAGAACCATGGTTCAGAACCAAAGGACAGAGGATCAGTTAAGTGTTTTCAGCTTTAATAGGGCTCTGCTGAAGGCCAGGCAAGGTTAACTGGCTTGCTAGGTGATTTGCTGCTCTGTTGATTAACTGTGTACATAAAGGATTTGAAGCAGAGTTCTAGAACACTCCATACAGGATCAACTGAGAGACAGATGCTCCTGATATTTCTTAGCTCCAATTGCCCTTTGCTACTGAGAACAGTATAGTTGCATATAATCGCTAATGGGTGTGTAAAGGGCTCTCTCTAAAGTTGAACTCTATTTCTTTGCTTTAGATTACTGTAGGGCATACCGAAAGCATGTAAGGAGTCGATTCCAGTATATTGAAGACAGAAATGCACGTCTGGGTGAGAGTGTGAACCTGAACAAACGGTATACCCGCCTGCGCCTCGTCAAGGAGCACCCCAGCCAGAAGGAGAGGGTGCAGGAGCTTCTCGCCATTGGTCAAACTGCAGCCAAGACCAGGGACAGTGCCATGAGTTCCATCAAGATAGAGCCCCTGTTTGACCCTGATGAAGAAAACACAGAGCCTGTACACACGGTTGTGCTCCAGGGAGCAGCAGGCATTGGGAAAACAATACTGGCCAGGAAGATTATGTTGGACTGGGCATCAGGCAAGCTTTATAAAGACAGATTTGACTATTTATTTTATATCTACTGCCGAGAGGTGAGCCTCATGACAAAGAAGAGTCTGGGAGACCTGATTATTAGCTGTTGCCCTGACCCCAAACCTCCCCTATCCAAGATAGTGAGCAAGCCATCCAAAATCCTCTTCCTCATGGATGGCTTCGATGAATTGCAAGGAGACTTCGATGAGCACATGGGGGACTTCTGCACAGATTGGCAGAAGGCCGAGAGAGGAGACATTCTACTGAGTAGCCTCATTCGAAAGAGGCTGCTTCCTGAGGCCTCCCTGCTTATTACCACACGACCCGTCGCCCTAGAGAAGCTCCAACATTTATTGGACCATTCTCGTCATGTGGAGATCCTGGGTTTCTCAGAGGCCAGGAGGAAGGAATATTTTTTCAAGTATTTCTCCGAGGAGCACCAAGCCAAGGAAGCCTTTCGGTTAATTCAGGAGAACGAGATCCTCTTCACCATGTGCTTCATTCCCCTGGTTTGCTGGATTGTGTGCACTGGGTTGAAGCAGCAAATGGAGAGTGGCAAATCCCTTGCTCAGACCTCTAAGACAACCACTGCTGTGTACGTCTTCTTTCTCTCAAGTTTGTTGCAACACAGAGGAGGAACTCAGGAACACCCTCTCTCTGCCAACCTCCGAGGACTCTGTTCTTTAGCTGCTGATGGCATCTGGAATCAGAAAATCCTCTTTGACGAGGACGACCTCAGGCTACATGGCCTGCAGAGGGTGGATGTGTCAGCTTTCCTGAGGATGAACCTCTTCCAGAAAGAAGTGGACTGTGAGAAGCTCTATAGCTTCATTCACATGACTTTTCAGGAGTTCTTTGCTGCAATGTACTACCTGCTGGAAGAGGAGGAAGAGAGGGAAATGAGGAACATGTCACAGCACATGCTTCCCAACCGTGATGTGACAGTTCTTCTGGAAAATTATGGCAAATTTGAAAAGGGATATTTGATTTTTGTTGTTCGTTTCCTTTTTGGCCTGGTAAACCAGGAGAGAACCTCTTACCTAGAAAAGAAACTAAGTTGCAAAATTTCACAGCAAATCAGGCAAGAATTGCTCAAATGGATAGAAGCTAAAGCCAAGGCCAAGAAGCTGCAGATACAGCCCAGTCAGCTGGAATTGTTCTATTGCTTATATGAGATGCAGGAGGAAGACTTTGTGCAAAGGGCCATGAACCATTTTCCTAAAATTGAGATCAACCTCTCCACCAGGATGGACCATGTAGTTTCCTCTTTTTGCATTGGGAACTGTCAGCGTGTAGAATCACTTTCCCTGGGACTTTTTCATAACTTGACCAAGGAGGAAGAAGAAGAGGAGGAGGAAGGTCAACGCCATCATGTGGTCAGTTGTGTCTCACCAGGTTCACATGATGCCTGCTCTTACCAGTAAGGAACTGAGGCTTGCGGCGGGGGATAGCACGTGCCCTCCTCTTTCTAGCCATCGTTTTCTTAGTATTTGCTCACTCTGCACTCTTTTCAACTTACTTTCAAATGCAAGGGTCTCTAAAACCAATCAACCACTTTCTGTCAATTATAACTCAGGGCAACCCATGTGTGCCACAGTAGAACTGTGTGCTCTGGGGTTTTCTATGGCTGACTTCATACAAGTAGGCCTCAGGACTGTTTGTACAAGATGCCGCTCAGTGAACTTAACCCTCCAATGTGTCAGTTAGAAACTGAGCCTATTACTTTACACTACCAGATTTTATACTACCTAGTGACTCCAGGCAATTACCACTACTTGGTAATAGTGCCACCATGGTTAACTTATTTCTCTCACGTTTTTACATTGGCTTAGATGAAAGGGAAGATAGGGTAAGTGGATAAATGCAATGACCAAAATATCAGCGAAAGAACAAACAAATAATTGCTGAGTGGCCATTCGGTATAAGAAACTGTTCTAGGTATTATGTGAAGTATAATCCAAAACTAAACTCAATGCCTTTAAGTTGATTCCAACTCGTGACCCTGTAGGACAGAGTAGAACCACCCCTTTGGGGTCTTTACCAGAATAGGCAGCTTCATCTTTCTCCTATGGAGTGACTAATGGGTTTGAACCACTGACCTTATCATTAGCAGGTCTCTTCATAGATTAGTATACCACCAAACCTCCTATATAAAAACTCAAAACTCACTGCCATCGAGTTGATTCCAATTCATAGTGATCTGATAGGACAGAGTAGAAACCTGTGGGTTTCTGCACTTTCTTATGATAGTAGCCTCATCTTCCTCCTGAGGATAGGCTGGTGGTTTCGAACCCCATATCTTGTAGTTAGCAGCCCAAATTGTAACCACTATGTCATCAGGGCTCCTAAACCTAAGCTGCTTGTAATCTTCTTAGAGCTCTCATGTATAATAGTGAAATAGCCCTCCTGACCAATACTTAAGGGTAAAAGTGTGCTGGAGACTATGTGCCCCAGGAACACAGGAAGCAGAGGGCCCTTTGAGCTGATGGCTCTATGAACGATGTTTAAGCCTGCTTTCAAGGACTGGTAGGGTGCAGATGAGTAGAGAATAATGTGAAAAGAATTCTAGATGTGAGGACCAGTCTGATTAAAGGCATGAAAATGGCCTGAGGAAGAGCGTTTGTAGATGTAGTGGGGAGATGGCTGTATTGGCACAAAGGTAGCGAGGGGACATTGAAGGTTTCTGAAGAATTTCTAGACTAAGACAGACTAGGATGCAAGAGTGATCTGCTTTCAAAGACCAGCCAATGAAAACCACAGGGATCACAGCTGTTATAGTTAGGGTCACCATCAGTGGGGGGTGGGGGGTGGGAAAGCTGACTTAGCCACAGCTGACAATAACAGTAAGACTGGAAAGGGAAGACCACTTCCTGTAGGCTTCATGCTGTTTTTTTCTCGGTTAGGGTTAGGTTGTGAGCCATATGTGGCTCTTTCAGTATGCATATGCGGCTCTGAAATAAAACTAAAATAATTAAAGGCTATTAGTCAGATAATGGTGATTTCATTTGTTCGTAAAAACAAAAAAAAAATCAACCATATTTATGGCTCTCAAATAACTTTTAAATTGTGTTGTAAGGGACACGATTGGCTCTTCTGTCTCAAAAGTTTTCCGACCCTTATTCTAGGCGGTTCCCGAAATAACCTACTTCAGAATCTGTTGAGTACAGACTTGCTAGGAGGTTGGGAGCCAGCCACCCTGTGTATAAAATGAAGGGGTTGACTTATCTGATTTCTGAAGCCCTTATCAAGCATAACGGTCAGTGACTCCTGGATGCCAGCATCGTAGTTTCCGAGGAATGCCATTAGAAAATGCCACCAAGTGGGTGGGCTTTAAAGAACAGAAATATTGCCTCATAGCTCTGGAAGCTCGAAGTTCAAATGTAAGTTAATGACAGGGCCATCTTCTTTCTGTCTACTTAGGGGAAGATCCTTCCATGTTTCTTTTAGTTTCTATAGCCTTTGACTTTCCTAGAAGGATCTTCACATGATATCTGTCTTCTCTCTGTGTGACTCCTGATGCTGGTTCTCTCCTTTTCTGTGACATCACTCAGTGATATTAGGACCCACTCTACTCCAGTTTGACCTCCTTGATTTATAGAAAAGAAAAAACATATTTCCAAACAAGGTCACATTCGCAAGTACAGGTGTAAGGATTTCAACTCATCATTCCAGTAAAAAATTCAACCCATCTCCAGAATTGTCGATAGTGGTTGGTTTGCGGTGATCCCATGTGAAAGTGTGGCTATAACCTTTGTATGAGACACAGAATAAAAATTAAGAACAAAGGGAGCATATGCCCTGCAATTAGCAGCATTGCGCTCCAGCTCTCTGCCTTGGCATCTGCCAGGAGGGCTGCTTTACTCGTCATTCAGTCATCAGGGGCCTCCCTCTGGAGCTGTGGCCATGACTGAGAAGAGGGAAAAGAGTGATGCACAATGATAAGGACATTTGCAGGGAGCACTAGAGGTTCCCAGGAGGCGCCCTTGAGCAGCAGAGCGAGTTAGGGAAGATGTCTCAAGTAATCATACCTCTGTCCAAGTTTTAGGGACAGGGAAGAGGCAGCCCAGGATGGAGGACTAGTGTGGCATAGAACACACAGGTTGAGAAAGATGGATACTTTTCAACAATGGCAAAGAGTTCAGAATGGATAGATGAAAGTAAGGAGAAAGAGAAGGGAGAAGAGAGATAGACTGGAGAGAGAAAATAGAAGAAGGAGAAGAAAGCAAATATGATCCTGAAAGAGGTTAACAGTGAGGGAGAGACATCAGACCTGATCAAGACGTGACAGCTATGAAAACGGCTTGCAAGAATTCAAGCTCCTAGCTTCCCATATGGAAGTCTAGTGCTCATTTCTCTAGATAGCAATGTAGGGATTTGCCTTTATACACTTTGAACCTAGCAAGGACTAGCTGGATGCTTGTTAAACAGTACAGAATCATCAGGCCTGACTTTCTGAGTCAGAAAATGCATTTTAACAATATCCCACAATGATTCAAAGGCAGATGAACAATGGAGTTAACAATTTTATGTCCTGTAATTTTTTTTGTTATGAAAACTCTTCTAGAATACATAACATAGGATACTCTTCTAGAATACATAGCATAGGATATCCAGGCCCAGAGACAAGCGGTCTGACGGATGAGTAATAAAGAAGAAAATCCAAGCCAACAAAAGGTACTCATAGCCAGACAAAGTCACAGGTTAACTTCCGATATCATAAGTCATTGGGGGATTAGTTTTACCCAGGCTCCCTTAGGTCCTTTTCATTTTTAGGGAGCTAATGCTTAGTCCTGTGCCCCATTTAATAATCACTGGACACTTTTCTTTGACTTTGTGCCCATTGCTCCTGCCCTCAAGCTGCAATTTGGTTTTGTAAAAGACTGATCTTTTCCTTATTTTTCTGTTTTATCTCTTTCTTATCTTCTCTCTTCCTTCCCATTTTCTAGTCTTGTGAACTACTGCCTCACTTCTAGCTTTTGCAGGGGCCTCTTCTCAGCCCTGAGCACTAACCAGAGCCTTACTGAATTGGACCTCAGTGACAATACTGTAGGAGACCCAGGAATGAGGGTACTGTGTGAAACACTCCAGCATCCTGGCTGTAACATTCAAAGACTATGGTAAGTCTGTGTGTGTGTGTGTGTGTACATGCACACACAAACATCCAGCCAAACATGTATGTGAACATGAGTGAGTGAAGGACTGAAAATGTCTCAGTGGCATGGCAAGTGGAAAGACAGGCTGCTTTGGCAGCCAGTTGTTTGAAAAGTGTTCGATGGGGAAAAATGAAAGGGAACTAGGAAATCTTTTTTTTGCAGTACAGGCTAGTGGTCCTGTGCTGAAGATTGAAGGTTCATTATATAGAATAAGATGTTTGGCTCCTTCAGGGGAAAGACTGGAATTGAATAATCAAACAGGTGTGGAGTGCAAAGCTGGCGAAAAGTCGATGACGACAAGCCTGGAGGTAAACCGCCTCTGGCCAGGCAACTGCAGCTGTCAGGTCTTGTCATTGGGCAGAGCACGTGGAAAGGAGGTAGAACCTGCAGGTTTACCACCTCTTTCATTTAATATGAGACGGACATGTCATTTATTCATTTGAGGGTTCATTACAGTTGACCTGGCATTATTTACTCATGGGAGTTGTGATTTTAGACTTGGAGCGAGTGAGCCTGAAGACTACCTTCCCAGATGTCTCAGGTTGTGTTCAGATGTTTTCTAATAAGATTATACTTCAAGGAGAACTGTGTTATGATTTGCCTTGAACAATTTGGTAAAACAAATATTTTGGTACTGAAATAAAGAATAGCATTTCAGGTAGTTACAGAGAAGACCCTTTTTGATTCTCTCGATTTCTGTTTTTTGTGTGAAGGCTAGGGCGGTGTGGACTGTCCCATCACTGCTGCCTGGGCCTTTCTTCAGTCCTAAGCAGCAACCAGAAGCTAGTGGAATTGGATCTGAGTGACAATGGCCTGGGAGACTCTGGGGTCAGACTTTTGTGTGTGGGACTGCGCCATTTATTCTGCAATCTGCAGAAGCTGTGGTGAGTCTGAATTGCTTTCCTGTATGAAGGACAAGGCAGTGGCTTGCATGAAGCAAAGGACAAGAGTCTTAGTGTGAGAATAACTCTGGCTGATAGACACTTTTCCGTATATAGCTCTGAGTGTCAGTAGATCTGTAAGGTAGGTTTTATTACAGGAAAAATCTCATATTCAGCTCCAGAGGGGAGCATAAGCCATTAAAATAATGCCTTTGAAGTATTTAATGCCTAGATGAGAAAATAAAACAAATATAATGTATTACTTTAGAAAAATTGCAGAACTTCATGACAAATGCAACTCTCAGTCCAAGCCCCAATAGAAAATAATGAGGTAAACTACACAGATACTCAATACTGCATAGAACCCTTCATTTTATACTTTTGGAATATTATAAATTTTTAAGAAGTAAACAGAACACATAAAAATATTATGGAGGATCAAAAGTTAATATAGAGCTGGGGTCTACTCTCTCCCCATGTATGGACTAGACCAGAGACTGAAACAGGGATGAAACTCCTTAGCATAAGACTGAATGTGATTGTGACACTGTGCTGTCTCTACGGAAGGCTTGTCAGCTGCTGCCTCACATCAGACTGCTGTCCGGACCTTGCATTAGTCCTGAGTACCAACCAGTCCCTGACCAGACTTTACATGGGGGAAAACGCCCTGGGAGACTCAGGAGTGGGGATTTTATGTGAAGAAATAAAGCACCCACAATGTAACCTGCAGAAATTGGGGTAAGTCTGCTTGGGCATTTTGCAGAAAGGCAACTTCTCTTCAGTTAGCTGGAAAGTACAGATGAGGATTTTATCTTATCAGATGTATTTGAAGTGGTTCAAAGCACTACATTCACATGCACAATATCTACGTAATGTATACAACCACTAAGAAGATATTTTGAAGTCCCTCTGTGGGGCAAATATTAACAAGCTTGGGTGCTGACAAAACCTTGGTTGAGTTTATACAATTTTATGTATGTGTAAGAGTTTCTTTTTTTCTTAAACAGTTTTATTGGCATTTCATCTACATATCATACAATTCAATCATTCATTCATATCAAGAAGAATTGTACAATCATCACTACAATCAATGGTAGAACGTTTTCTTTTTCCTCGCACTCATTGTTATTCATGAAATTTTAAAAAATTGTGGGAAAAATATACACACCAAAACATTCTCTAATTAAACAGCTTCTACATGTATAGTTCAGTGCCATTGATTATACTCTTCATGTTGTACAACCATTATTAATAGCCTTTCTCAAATTATTCCACTACTATTAACATAAACTCAATGGCCCCTAAGCAAATCCTGTGGCAACATCTCAGCCACCCTCATCCTTTGACTGTTCCTGCTCTCTTCTTCCTGCTTTATTCAATAGTGGGGCTTTCCAGGAGGCTGCCCAGCTGTAACCAGAGGCAACTCTAAACTCCTTATTCCTATTAGTTTTAGTTCCCTCTTCCTTTCACATTTTTTTTGGCATAGTACCAGCTGTATCTCCTTAAAGCACTAACTTGATAATGAGCCTATACTCAAATTGTTCCTAATTTTCTTCTTTGAGGTTAGTGTGAGGTTGTTTTACCTTAACCCAGCACACTAGGATCACCCTGACCAGCCCCAGTTGGGGCTGCTCCTGCTTTTTCTTCTAACACATTCTCTACTCCAACTTGAGTCATATTGAATTAGTCTTTATTTCTTAAGAACTGCTCTTTCATGCTTCCCCACCTCTCCACCATATGTTGGAGCTCTGACCTTGTTGAAAGACACTATTTTGTGAACTTCAAATAACATGTTGGGCTGTGATCCACAAGGTCAGAAGTTCAAAACCATCAACCCACTTTTAGGGAAAAAGACAGGACTTTCTACTCTCATAAAGAGTAAAGAGTAAATCCATCTGTCCAAAATGGGATATCCCCTCACAGAAGGGTCACAAGGAAGGGATGAGTCAACCAGGGCGCAGTATAGCACCCATGAAACTCATAACATTCCTCTGGTTCCTTGAGGCTTCCTCACCCCCCACTATCATGACCCCAGTCCTGCCTTTCATTGCAGGCTGGACCGGAGAATGTGCACAGGTAATAGATAAGCGTACATGACACACGGAATCCAGGAATAAGAATGGGAGTAGTGATACCAGGAGGGTAGGGGGAAGGTGGGGAAGAAGGGGGAACCAATTGCAATGACCAACACATTACTCCCCCCCCCCACTGGGATGAACAACAGAAACCATGGGGAAAGGGGACAGCACTGGGTTTAACATATGAAAATAATAATAATTTATAATTTATCAAGGTGTCAGAAGGATGGGGGGCGGGAGGGAGTGAAAAAAGAGGAGCTGATACCAAGGGCTCAATAGAAAGTAAATGTTTAGAAAATAGTGATGGCAACATATGTACAAATATGCTTGATACAATTGATGTATGGATTATTATAAGAGCTGTAAGAGCCCCTAATAAAATTATCTTTTAATAAAATAAAAAAACAATAAGCATAAGAAAAAAGAGTAGCGTTACAGTCTCGGAAACCTACAGGGGCAGGTCTACCGTGTCCTACAGTGAGTGCCGCTATGAATTGACATTGACTTAATGTCAGTGAATTTTGTTTGTCAAATTTCTTTTCTTTTCTTCTTCTTTAATAATTTTATTGGGGGCTCTTATAGCTCTCATCACAATCCATACATACACTCGTTGTGTTCAGCACATTTGTATATATGTCACTGTCATCATTTTCAGAACATTTTGTTTCTACTTGAGCCCTTGGTATCAGCTCATTTCCCCCCCTCCTAGACCCTCCCTCCCTCATGAACTTTAGATAATTTATAAATTATTATTAAAGTGAGTGAAGGGAGACATTGGTCGGTTTGTCAAATTTCTAATCTGTAAAAGGTACATGATCGTTTTAACTGCACCGCCTGCATTGCCTGGTTGAGATAAGAATCAAATATGATGCAGCTCTGCCATTAGGAAGGATGACAGGTGATGGGTAACCTGGGGTGTCTTTCTGGAAAAAAATGGCTGTAAAAGTAGCCGTAAGGGAAGTTGGATATTGAAGACTCTTCTCTATTCCTTCTGACAGATTGGTGAATTCTGGCCTCACATCAGCTTGTTGTCCGGCTCTGTCCTTGGCACTCAGCACCAACCAGAACCTCACACACCTTTACCTAAGGGACAATGCTCTAGGAGACAAAGGGGTCAAGGTGCTCGGTGAGGGACTCATGAACGCCAACTGTAAGCTTCAGATGCTGGAGTAAGTTCCTTGACTTTTTTATGACTTTGGGAATATATGGTGACTAAGAGTGGAGGAAGGTGTGGGGGGAATGGTGTATATTAGAGAAGTAAGAATATCACTCAAGTGTTGGGCATACTGAAGGATGAATTTTATTACTTGATTGTATAACAATAAAACTCAAGTTTTTAAAAACCACAATTCTTTCTACCAAAAAGAGTGACGTATGTGACTTGTGTTTTAGGGACATTTTCGATGAGACACAGATCAGATTTGGGGAAAAGTAATTTACAAATTTGTTATACAAAACAGAGAAAAAAGAAAAACAATACATTGACATATAGACTGTTCTATATATTTTATACTATTTGTATTATAAACTTTGCAAGCTAAGATCTGGAAGGCCTGGAAAGAGTATTAAGGGAAAATTTTTTTTAAAAATTCACCTCTTTCTTGCAGATTAGACAACTGCAATCTCACCTCACACTGCTGTTGGGATCTTTCTACAGTTTTGACTTCTAACCAGAGTCTGCGCAAGCTGAGTCTGGGCAACAATGATCTTAGTGACTTGGGTATCATGCTTCTCTGTGAAGTACTCAAACAGAACTGCCTCTTGAACAGTCTGCAGTAAGTGTGCTTTGGAGAGATTTGTGTGGTGGGGGTGATTGTCAGGAAAAAACCTGTCACCCAAATCCAGGAGGGTTTGGGCTTAATTTTCACTGAGGCTTTGGTTGTGCTTTTGCCAGTTAGTTCAGATTAAATAAAACATTTGAAAGGATACATGCATCATAAACGATATAACTCCATCCAGGTATCCATAATTATCAGGGTTCAATTGGATGCGAAAGACTTTCCATCCATATTCCCCAAAGAACCATCAGTCCTCATGAGACTGGCCAAATAGGATTATATTTCTACATAAAGGATTTTATTTTGTATAACTAGACAAGTCTAAAATTCATTCCACTAGAAAAGACCTTTACATAGTGCCATGCTGTTGGTCTTATTTTTGAGGTTTTATAAGTGGAGAAAGATGTTCTAGGAACATTAAGATCAGAAATTTCATAATATCTTGCCTATCTGCAGCGTGTTTATAGATTACTAGCTCCCTTTAATCATGGGCAATATCTCCAAGGTACGCATGGCCTCTCTATGAAGAGATAACTCATTAGTCTTGTAGTTTCTGTTAACCCAACCATTCAGTCAAATTACGACTTTTAGAAACTGTTTTTCTTAGGTGTGATGATATGAGGCAACAGAATATGTACAATACAATGGTACAATGCCTCTCAATTTTCAGCACACATTTTGTTTTTAAAAGCTCTTTTAATTTATTGTTACACAGTGAAAAATTCAAAAGTGTGTGGCATATCCTTAAAATAATTAATCGGTCAGAGGAGTGATTAGTCTGTAAATGAAATTAGATTGGCCTTAAGTTGTTAGTAGATGAAGCTGGGTAATGAACACATGCAGATTTACTATATTATTCTTTATACCTTTTCATACATTAAAAAATTTCCAAAATTGAAGGCTAAACATTAACAGAAATTATATTGTACATGCGAAAAAGATCAAACTTAGTGGTTAGATAGAGGTTGGTGGAGGCCTTGAGACTATGACTCGTATGGACAATAGAATGAAACATGGTCTGGCATCATCCTTACCATCGTTCCTATGCTTGAGACCAATGTTGCTGCTACTAGGTCAATCCATTTTGCTGATGTGAGGGCGTGCCTATTTTTTGCTGCCCCTCTACTTTACCAAGCACCATGTCCTTCTCTACAGACTGGCCTCTCCTGACAACACGTCCAAAGTATGTAAAACTGGGTCTTGATAACCTTGTCTCTAAGGTGAATTCTGCCTGTACTTCTTCCAAGGCAGATTTATTTTGGGCTTTATTCCTTAGTCACCTGGAGCAGAACTCACCCCGTTGATAAATTTTCAGTTAACAAGAGAGAGGTCTTTAAGGTTAACAATAAAACGAGGCAGGTGTGCACTTCTTAGAGTAATCAAACCATTTGAGGTGAATTGAGCAACATTTGCCCAAGGACAAAGCTCAGAAGGCAGAAGGGAGAAAAATAGAAGGCAAAATGGAAATGGGAGACACAGGGAGAAAGGGAGCAAGTAATATCATACTGTGGGGATTTCATTCTCTAACATGAGACAAAGTCTGTTGGAATTGCTGAATAGAAAATGATTTGCCCCTTGTGGTGAAGAAAGCTGATGGTGCCCGGCTATCAAAAAGTATAGCGTCTGGGGTCTTAAAGGCTTGAAGGTAATCAAGCAGCCATCTAGCTCAGAAGCAACAAAGCCCACATGGAAGAAGCACACCAGCCTATGCAACCACGAGGTGTCGAAGGGATCAGGTGTAAGGCATCATCAGAACAAAAAATCTTACCATAGTGAATGATGGGGGGAGTGCGGAGTGGAGACCCAAAGCCCATTAGTAGGCCACTGGAGATCCCCTTGCAGAGGGGTCTAGGGGAGGAGATGAGCCAGTCACGGTGCGATGTAACAATGATGAGAAATACAACCTTCCTCTAGTTCCTAAAGGTTTCCTCCCCGCTCCCACTACCATGACTCGAATTCTATCTTGCAAGACTGGCTAGACCAGAGGAGGTACACTGGTACAGATGGGAACTGAAAATACAGGGAATCCAGGACGGATGAGCCCTATAGGACCATTGGTGTGAGTGGCAAAACAGGGAGGGTAAAGGGAGAATGGGTAGGGAAGAGGGAACCGATTACATGGAACTGTGTGTGACCTCCTCCCTGGGGGACAGACAGCCAAAAAGTGGATGAAGGGAGACGTCGGACAGGGCAAGATATGACAAAATACCCATTTATAAACTATCAAGGGCTCATGCGGGAGAGGGGAGCGGGGAGGGAGGGGAAAAATGAGGACCTAATGTCGGGGGTTTAAGTGGAGAGAAAATGTTTTGAGAAACGATGTACAAATGCGCTTTACACAATTGATGTGTGTATGGATTGGGATAACAGTTGTATGAGCCCCTAATAAAATGTTAAAAAAAAAAAAGAAAATGATTTGCCCTGTAAACCTTCACCTAATTCATAACAAAAGTAAACAAACCAATGAATTAATAAAACTCATATTGCTTATGTAGCACAGCATTTCAAAACTTAGAGATTTCTGAGGTCCAGGGAAGTAGCATTTTGAAGGCAAGCACTCTGTAGGGAATTTCTTTGAAGAATACAACCCAAGACTTTCTATTTGCTTTCACAGGTTGAGTAAGACATATTTCAATAATGAGACAAAATGTGCATTGGAAACCCTCCAAGAAGAGAAGCCTGAGTTATCCATTGTCTTTGAGCCTTCTTGGTAGTGATGGAAGCAGGGCATCCAGACACCACGTTTTGTAGCACTCACGTGACGACTGCGAATGAATGTTCCTCCATCCAAGGTCAAGACCACAGCTCTGTGACTTTTCCGGCCCAGAGTCAGACAGTGAAAGCTTACTGTTGTCATTATGTAGGGAATCCGAGCAGCTTCTTTATCTTTGGGTGGAAGACTGCAATGAATAATAAAGATCATATTGTTCTAACCATAGGGCCTTTGTTAGAAGGTAGTTTGCCTTGATGGACTTGTGTGATTAGCTCATGCAATAAAGCATTTTATATTTTTGCTGCCTTTTCACTCTCTTTAGTGCTCCTTTTCTTTCCATCTTTTTCACTTGTTTATTTTTATTGCTGTTATCCTTTCTGTCATCTTTTTCTAACTGACCATAGTATAGAATGAGATAATTATTTATTGTGTTATAATTTTGTGTACCATTTTATTATTTTTACTTTTTGTACATAAATATTTTCTAATAAAATAATTTGGCCATTGTAGCTAGTTTGAAATTTTTAAAAATGTAAAAAGTATGTTGTATTTATTGAGTATAATTGTACCTTTCCTTAATTTTAAAAATATAGGAAAATATTTTTTATTTATTGAAACTATTAAAGAAAAATAAATTTTATATGTAATTTTAAAACCTCTTTTACAGATAATTCAACTATAGTCAATGGGAATAATGATCTTATGCTAAATCTGATTATTAGAATTTTATCTCTGGTAGCAATGGAAGCATGCAGGGTACTAAGCAAAATATTATGTGGTAAATGATTGTTTTTAAGTGGTAAGAATTAATTTTGATGGTAGGCTCATGCCCTGGAGCTGCAGCACAGCCAGGCAGGTGGCAGAGGCTTCTGCCCTGACTCAGCACTCCGCACCTACCGACGGCCAGCTGTCCCCTCCCCACAGAGGTTCGTGCCCCATCTGGGTGCTCCTCACAGTCCTGATGGCTGGCCCCTCCCCCCCAGGAGGCTCGTGCCCAGGTGCCACAGGGTAGAGGCTTCTGTCCTGCCAGGCACAGGGTAGAGGCTTCTGTCCTGCCAGGCACAGGGTAGAGGCTTCTGTCCTGCCTTTGTGGTCCATGAAAGCCCACCAACCAGACCTCCCCCCACACTTAGAGGTCTCAACCCAGAGGTTCCTGCCTCATCTCTGCTCTCCTCACAGATCTTCCAGCCAGCTCCCTACACACACACACACACACACACACACACACACACACACACACGCTTGTGCAGACGTTCCCATCCTGCCACATCGCTTCAGGCCTGCCAGGCAGCAGACACAAGTCTAGCAGAAGCTTCTACAGCCATGGAATAGGGACCCAAGCCTTTGGGGCTTGCCTACTGCATTCTCCCTTCTCCCTGTTCAATCTGCCCCACCCTTTATGCTCCAAGCGGTGGACCGGAAAACCAGTGGCAGCCCCCCTCCCACCCGCCTACCTGTGGGAAGTGCCCCTAGTCAGAAACAGATCAGTTAATCCCCAATCCATCCCCTAAATATGCTCCCCTGCACTGGGGTCAACACTTTCTATCAGACTGCAGCGTGCACAGATGCAAACAGCCCCTAAGGAGACCTGAAGGTGGCTGGAGCACAAGCATAGGCCAAGGCAAGAGGGAATCTTCAGCAGGACAAAGGTGAAACACAACCCCTCAAGGTAGTTGGCTAAAGGCAGCCTGCAGAAACACTAATACCAGCCTCCCAAAGAGAGAGCCCAGGGCTCTAAGAAACCGGGGAAAATGGCACCTAGTTCCAATAAATGGACAAAAAAACCATCAAGCTGCTTCCACAGCTTCAACAAGAAAAGAGAAACAACATCCAATGCCAGAGGATGACCTGGACCTAACAGCAATCATAGAAAAGGCAGAGGTTGACCTACCAAAAAAGAAATATTCAGAATGCTGCTTGGAGTCATACAGGGCATGAGGGAAGCAATACAGAAAAAGGTTGAACTGATAGAGAAGATAAAGGCCCTGCAGCAAAGGGAAATACAAGAGTTAAGGGATGAGATAACAAAAACTAATAGCAAACCCACAGACTTTGCCCAGAGAATGGAGGAGGCAGAGAATCACACCTGTGACCTAGAGGATACGCAAGCAGAAATTAATAAATGTGAGAAGAGTCTAACAAGTCCACCAGAGAAGCTGAAGAAAACCTCAGAGCTACGTCTGACATATGAGAAGGAACAACATCAGAATTATAGGCCTGTTGGAGGAATGCACATCAAGGAAACCAACATCCAAAATAGTGATGGAATGCTTGGTGGGAAACTTCCCTAACTTAATGAATGAAAACTAGGCAACTATCCAGGAGGCTGAAAGAATGCCAGCTAGACTGAATCCCAAGAAGAAGTCAGCAAGACATATAGTTGTTAAACTACCCAAGTATGAGGAAAAGGACAAAATTATGAGAGCAGCTAAGTAAAACTAGCAACCACATATAAAGGCAAGCAGATAAGAATATTCTTAGACCTATCAGAAAACACTATGAAGAGGAGGAGACAGTGGAACAGCATATTCCAAAAATTGCTGGAAAATAATGCAAACCCAAGAATACTCTATCCAGCCAAATTATCTATTAAAGTTGATGGAGAAGTGAAAGTCTTCTCAGACAAGGAAAATCTCAAAGAATATGCTAAAAGGAACCCAGCACTACAAAAGATCCTCGCCGACCCAGCATAGGCAGAAAAACAACACTCACCAACCACATACAATAGACTGGCACGCGGAACAACTCCACCCAGAGACCACCAAAGGGAAAACAGCTCTCAAGGTAACACTGACTCAACAATAGAAAGAAGGCAAGAATGAAGCACAAACACACACATGCACAATCCACGGAAAATAAATGGAGGTAGGAAAACACCCAATTCAAAAGGGATAAAATGGCATCATAGAGTCCACAGATAGATGAAATAACCCTGAATATCAATGGATTGAATTCAGGGTTTATGAGACAGAGACTAACAAACCCTTAGAAAACACAACCCCACGATCTGCTGCCTACAGGAGACACATCTCAAGAATATAGGCAAAAATAGGCTGGGAATCAAAGACAGGAGAAAAACATACCAAGCAAACAGCAATTCAAAAAAAAGCAGGGGTTGCAATCCTAATCTCGGATAAAATTGACCTCAAAGTGCAAACCATAAAAAGAGAGAAAGAGGGACACTATATAATGCTCAAAGGAACAGTACACAAAGAACCACTAAGCATTCTAAACATTTACTCACCGAATAAGCGTGCAGTGGAATATGTCAATGAAATGCTTCAAAGATGGAAAAAATAAACCACAGCCTCAACAATTATAGTAGGTGGCTTCAAAACACTGCTCTCTGAGAAAGATAGATTACTGGGAAAGAAACTCAACAAGGAGGATAAAGATCTAAACATTACAATTAGACAATTTGACCTGATAGATATCTGTAGAGCTCTCCACCCAAATACAAAAAAATTCACAGTCTTTTAAAGCCCACATGGCTCATATTTAAAGATAGACCACAGGCTAGGGCATAAGTCAAACCTACATAAATTTAAGCACATTGATATCATACAGACCTCTCTCTCTGACCACTGCACCTTAAGATTGGAAGTCAACAAAAGGAAGACAAAAAATCAGGGGTAAACAATCGGAGGATGAATAACTCTATTGCAAAAGGAGTGTGTATTGGCTTAGGTCAGATACGAAATTAGGAAATTTCTAGAAACCAACGAGAATGAGAGCACAACATACCAAAACTTATTGGACACAGTAAAGGCAGTCATCAGAGGAAGTCTCAAAGCATTACATGCACACATAAAAAAGGAGGAGAGGCTTATGATTGATACACTGGCACAAAATTTACAGCAACTAGAGCAGAGTCAACAAGACAATCCAACTAATAGCAAAAGAAAAGAAATAATAAAATTTAAATCTGAGATTCACAAGAGGGAAAATAAGAAAACTATGGAAAAAACCAATGCTGCTAAAAGTTGGTTTTTTGAAAGGATAAATTGAATCGACAACCCTCTCACAAATTTGACCAAAGAAAGGAAGGAACACATGTCAATAGCATGGATGAGGGATGAAAGATGGGATATTACAATGGTGAAATTAAAAGGATAATTACACAGTACTATGAAGGACTGTACTCCAAAAAATTCAACAACTTGGAAGACATGGACAAAATCTTGGAAAAACAATCCCTCCCTAGATTATCCCCAATGGCCATCAAGAACATCAACAGACCCATATCAATAGAAGAAATAGACAAGGTTTTCAAGGGATTACCAACCAAAAAATCACCTGGACCAGTTGGGTTTACAGGAGAATTCTTTCAAGCATTCAGGGAAAAACTGACACAAACTCTTCCAGAACATAGAAAAAGATGCCAAACTCCCAAATTCCTTCTATGAATCTAGGATAACCCTGATACCTAACCTGTGCAAGGATCCCACAAGAATTGAGAACTACAGACCAATTTCCCTAAATAATATTGATGCAAAAATCCCCAACAAAATACTAGCCAACAGAACACAAAAGTATATAAAACAAACAATACAACATGACCAAGTGGGATTCATACCAGGAATGCAGGGATGGTTCAACATATGAAAGACCATTAGCATTATTTGTCATATTGAAATGAAAACGTATAAGAAGCACATCATAATTTTGATAGATGCGGAAAAAGCACTCGACAGCATCCAACACCAATTCATGTTTAAGACACTCAAGAAGATAGGAATGGAAGGAGAATTCCTCAATATAATACAAGCCATATATGAAAAACCAACAGCCAATGTGGAAGTCAATGGAGAAAAGATGAGAGCAATTCTTCTGAAAAAAGGGGACTAGAAAAGGATGTCCCTTGTCCCCACTCCTATTTAACATCATACTGGAGGTCCTAGCTAACAATATAAGGCAAAGAAAAGACATCAAGTGTATTCATCTCAGGAAGGAAGAAGTGAAACTGTCGTTATTCGCAGATGATATGATTTTATTTATGGAAAATCCTAAAAGTTCCACGAGATGAGTACTGGAAGCAATAGAGGAATATGACAGAGTAGCATGTTACAAGATCAACAAACAGAAGTCTATTGCACTATTGTACACATTGGACAAGGCCACAGAAGAGGGGATCAAAAAGGGGGTGCCCTTCACAATAGTGAAACACAAATTGAAATATCTAGGGATATACCTGATTAAAAAACACAAAAGATTTGTACGAGAGGAAAACTACAAAACACTATTAAAAGAAACCAAGGGTGACCTCAAGAAATGGAAGGACATCCCATGCTTGTGGATCGGTAGAGTCAATATTGCAAAGATGTCAATTCTACCAAAGGCACCATATAAGTTTAATGTTACCCCGATCCAAATTCTGGCATCTTTCTTCAAAGAATTTGAAAAACAGATTACCAACTTCATTTGGAGAGGGAAGAAA